AGAGTCTGTTCCCTTTTCCAATTGGCAGCATGTGAGTCTGGGGTAGATTATACATAGAATCTCTCATGGATGCAGGGGAAGGGAAAAGGGGGGAGGGAGGCAGGAATTTTCCCTTGCTTTTTCTTCCCATTTTAATTTAAAACTTGATTAATTTTTATTATTTATTTGTGTGTGTGTGTGTGTGTGTGTGTGTGTGTGTTTAACTCCAGGTCTATTAGTCAAGAATGCACTAGATGAGGACTATATTTGCATAATGATGACTATCCAAAACACCCCACACAGGGCTATCAAGACATTCCAGAGTTGTTGGACCCATTCTATAATCATATGGCCAGCCCCAAGAATAGGAACTTGCACACAGTAGGGGCTTAAGCTTAAATAAACGTGTTTTGAATTGAATTGAACCCATCTTTTTGTTCATCTTATGCTTTCTCCATTCCCACTGTCTTTCTGCTTCTCAAACTCAGATCACTGGTCCCTGTCATAATGTACATAATGATTACTGTATTGTTTTCCTTGTGTGGCTGTTGTAAGGAAGACATTTTACACACCTTAAAAAGCCATAAAAATGGCAGTTAAGGAAGCAAGACTGTAAGGAGCAAGCGCATCTTTCCCTTTTCATTCTGGCTTTCACAGCACTAGACCCACAGATAGATACAAAAACAGACTCCTGGTAGTGCCCCACCCCTTTCTCTCTTTAAAACACTGTTAACAGCCCTGTCATTCTGTGTTCTAATATTCTATTTTGCAGTACATTCCACCTCTCAGGATCTATTTCAGTGATTCTGTGATGCCACTGAACTTGAAAACAAGAAAAAAAAGTTATTTCGTTACAAATCTGTCTGAAATCTAGATTTTGCTTGGCTGTGGTGCCTGCCTGCAATCTCTAGGTTCTTTTCCATTTGCTGACATACTCCCAGTTGGGCAAAGGCAAGATTTCCTGACATTCTTGATGTCTCATCTTTCTAACTAACTCATTATCCTTCATTTTAGGCTTTCTACTCTTCCTCAGCCTCCTTTTCTCTCAGTCCTTTACTTCTGCCTTCTTTGCACTGCCCCCCCCTTCTTCTCCCTGTTGCCTCTTTCTTCAATAGCCAAGATATTGAATAAAAATAAGTTTTTTAAAAAAATTGTTAACCGTAGAGATGTGGAAAAATTGAGGCACTAATGCACTGTTGGTGGAATTGTGAACTGATCCAACCAATACTACTACTAGGTCTGTATCCCAAAGAGATCAAAGAAAAATTGAAAAGACCCAAATGTACCAAAATATTTATAGTAGATCTTTTTGTGATAGTAAAGAATTGGAAATTGAAAGATGTCTAATTGGAGAATGGCTAAACAAGTTGAGGTACATGATTGTGAGGGAATACTATTGTGTTATAAGAAATGATAAGCAGGACAGTTTCAGAAAAACCCAGGAAGACTTGTATGAACTGATGCAAAGTGAAATGAGCAGAACCAGAACATTGTACACAGACAGTAATATTATATAATGATCAACTGTAACTGACTTAGCTATTCTGATCAATATAATCTGATCAGTATAATAATCCAAAACAAGGACTTAAGATAAAAAATGCTATCTACCTCCAGAGAGAGAACTGATTGGAGTCTGAGTGCAGATTGAAGCATATTTTCATTTTTTTTTTTTGCAACATGGGTAATATGGAAATGTTCTGCATGATTTCACATGTGTAACTGATACCACATTTTTGAGCCTTCTCAATAGGTGAGGAAGAGGTGGAAGGGAGGAAGAGAATTTGCAACTCAAAAAAAATTTTTTTAATGAATGTTAAAAATACATCTATTCAATAGTTTTGTATTCCTTGTGCTTAATGTCAAAAGTGAATGGATTTTTAAAAAATTTATCATCCAAAAACTAACTAAAACCAGTTAAAACATGTTTTAACACATAAGTTTATTAGACCATGGTATGTCAGAACTCTTCTGAATAGTAGTAGTCTCACCTATCAAATAGGGGTAATCCCAGCAGCAGTGACCTCACAAGGTTTGTTGTGAGGATCAACTGAGAGACAAAAGCACTTTGAAAACCTTTAAAGCACTCTATGTTGTTATTGTTGTTGCTCCTGGTGTTGCTATGGTTTGTATATGAGACTTATTTGTCTATTCAGAAGTTCAAGAGCAAGAGCTTTTTATGTCATAAACGGTTCCCCTCTCGTCATTCCTTCTCCTCTGCTGCCCTCCTGTGGTCATGTTAGGTTATAGCCCTCATTTCTGCTTTACCTAGTCCTAGAGCTACTTTTCACAAAATAAGTAAGCTAAAATAGGGTCACCTGGCCCATTCATAACATTACATAGTTGGAAGGGACTTTGAAAATTGTCTAATCAAAATCTTTTCATTTTATAGATAAAGAAACTGAAGCCCAAAGAAGAAAAATTATATGCACAAGGTCACACAAATAATTAGCAGATTCAGAGATCAAACCCAGCTCCTGTCATCCCAAATCCAACCTTCCTTCCACCACGCTACCTACTCCTCATGCTCTCCTCTGTTTAGTGCTTTGGTGTTTAAGTGGCCAAGGGTCTTTATCCCCAATTCTAGACAGAGAGAGCTATCTGAGTAGATTGTCTGGATGTCTTGCTATTTATTTAGGCTTAGACCAGGCCATACTTTAGGATGGAGAAGACATCAGTCCCTATTTTCAATTATTTGAAGAGTTTTTGAGAGGAAGAGTAGACTTGTTCTATTTGATTCTTTAAGAGACAGAATTTGAAATAATGAGTGAAAGGTATTAAGGTATTGGCTCTGTTTAAGAGCTTCCTAATAATCTAATGTGCCCAATGGAATGGGCTGTCTTAGGAGAAAAGTGAGGTCCCTGTCAGTGGAAGTATTAAATAAAGGGTTCTGGTTCAGCATAGAATGGAACAGATGACTTCTGAGATCCCTTCTCTCTCTGTAAGAACCTATGTCCCTTTATCCCATATAAAGTATTATGAGTCACAGTCTTAGATGTCAAGTTCAATTCTTACTACTATAAGCACTAAGTATATATACAAACATCGCCCAAGAGGACATACATGTAACATGTCTAAAATTCCAGAATTTATGTATTCATTACATTAATTTTATGAAAATCAACACTTGGCTACTATGAGTGCTCCATACATATTCATTTTTAATGACTAGGATTGTATCTCTATTAAAGTTCCCTTAAGATGGCTCCTCTTGGCATGGATATTAACCTCTGGGTTCCTGAAGACTATTACAGTAAAGGGCTCTGGCAGGTCCTACCAAGCTACAAAGGAATGAGTACACTGTGGATGACTTCCACCTAAGGCCCAGACTAGCTAAAATTGCAAAGGCTCCTCCCCAGGATGTCAGCCCCAGGAGGTGAACTATATAGGTCACAGTAACTTGTTTTAGTTTACTAAGCTGTACTAAGTTCCTATCTGCATTGCTAGAAGGAGCCTGCACATTGATAAATTTAAGATTCCTGAAGTTTAGATGAGAAATTGCCTGGCAACATAGGGCTGCGTTAAAAGTACCAGACATAACCCAAAGGGCTGAGTTGAAATCCTCTCCCTCTCTGCTAGGTGAATTCTTAGGATTCCTCAAAACCAAATGCCACTGATTCCATGAAACTTTCACCTATTTCCCACCTTAATAATAACCTTCCCCCTCAGACTTCACATAGTATTTTGTTTTGTAACTCTCTAGGACACTTATTGTATAATACTGAGCATTACAGCTATTAGTGTTGGTGTTTTAATGCCTTGGGTATTAAATATGACTATATTAAATATTAAATATGACTGTCATATCTGATCTTTGTGTCTCCTTAAGTAGAGCAAAACATTCCACACACTGTAAGTGTTCAACAAGTGTTTATTGTTTTGAGACTAAGGGCAAAAGACTTCATCTATCAGTGCCTCAGTTTTCTCATCTGTAAAATATGCATGATTATTGTACTACTTTCCTTATGGCGCTGTTGTAAGGAAGACATTTTACAAACTTAAAAAACCATAAAAATGGTAGTTAAGGAAGCAAGACTGTAAGGAGCAAGCACTTCTTAAACTGTGGGTCATGACCCTATATGGGGTTTAAGAAGCACCGAAGGGGATGCAAGTGGAAAAAGTTTAAGAAGCCGTGACATATGGGCCACAACCACAAAAATGGCTTCAACTAGCTCGATCTGTGGTAAATTTTTACTTCAGTCTCAAATCTAATTTCTAAGCAGACTGACCCTGCTATAGGGCAGGGCAATTGCCATCCCCAACTGAACCTAATTCAAGATTTAATGCAACAAAAGAATGTCACTGCCAGGAGCAAAGGCCATTTTCTCATTAATATAATCAGAATTTTACACACATATGTCATCTGGAATATTTTAATAACAGACTGACAGGGGAAGGGGACTTGGAAAGAATGGGATTCCAGGGCTAAGCAGCTGACCAAGAGTATGCACAGTATCTGCTTAAGTAATTGCAACATTTATAAAGTCAAGTTCTAATTATAGAATCCTTGAGTTTGAGAGCTGGAAGGGACCAATGGGATCATCTAAAGACCGTTTCCAGAACAATGCCATGTGGATGCTAAGTAAATACTGATTGGTAATGATAACAAAGATATTACGTAAGAGACTCTGGGGCAAATAAATTGTCTCCTGTTTACACAATTTTGAAGACAATTTCCTATGAGACACACAGTGATTCAACATTTTATTGATTTAATCTAAGAAATGTTAAGAACCTTTAATTTTACATATAATAAAGGAGTTTACAAAGAATAGGCAAAAAGCCAAAGTGCACAGGAAGGAACAAAAATAAACACATAGACATGTGCCTCAGAAGACGAGCCCCCTACGTGTACTTATTCACCCCTACACTAATAGTCCCTTCCTCTACCACTTCAATCTATTTCCAGATCACTATCCTCACTGAAACCAGCAGCTGGGTTATGGATTGATGTCAGCAGCACCATTTCTTTTTCAGGGAGCAAACCACACTCTTGTAAAAATGCTTCCAAGTCCACAGCAAAGAAATCTTCTCCAAGCTGGTCAGTGACTCGGACAAAATTACCAATTAATTCTCCTCCCTTATAAATCAGCAACGCAGGAAGGGCATTACTGGTGAAGCGGGAGCTGGCCCCAATGAGGGAGCTCTTCACTCTGCAGAACTTGACAGAGCTGTACTCAGCAGCAAGGCAGATCATGCAGCCATTCATTGCTTCCGCCCCAGGAATGTCATCTTCATAAATGTGAATCACGATGAGTATGCTTTTCTGTTCTTTATCAACTGTATCCAAAAATGCTTCCCCACTGGTGATCTCAAAGACCTGTCTGAACTGGTGGTGCCCACCATGCAGCTGCTGCCTCATCTCATCCATTCGTTGCTTCCTATATTGTTGTAAAAACTCTTCATCGTCCTGCTCCTCATTCACCATGCCGTACTCCTTCAAAGTCATCTGCAACAAGATCAAGAGGCTGATAAATGCAATGCAAAAACAAGCCTCACACAAATTGCATGCAAGTAACACCTCCACTGGTCAGCAATGAAAAGGGCTCCTCGGTCTCCAGCAGCATAAAGAATCACCGGGGGCCTCAAAGCCAAATGTTTGGTCACAAACTCTTTTTCACTTACAGACTACGAAAATTGGAAATGTGTACTGAGAAAGAGTTGTTGGGACACGGACACACACACACACACACACACACACACACACACACACACACACACACACACACACACACACACACACACACACACACACACACACACACACAATATCACCTGGCTCTCAACCCTCTCGTAATAATTCTCTCTTCACTTATCGAGACTAGGCCTGAGGTAAGATTCAGATTTGATCACTGGCCTGTAAACAAAGCCTTTGCAGGCTGGTAAACATGCCAGACCTTTCGTCCTCCTGGTCTAGCCTTACGATGGTCACCAGTGTACTACAGTGAGCCCCGAGGGGACTTAAGTGAAGGAACACATACTATGCAAACTTCAGTCTTCTTTCTGCACCCTCTTCTCTTTCAGTACTCTCTCCTACTCTCAAAGTACTGAGTAGTTTGTGGCCTTCCACTGAAATCCTTTTAGCAACCCAAGAAATACAAACTATTAATCACTTTAAAAACAGGTGTAACCCAAATAATGTCATTTTGCAGTTACACAATAAGGACAAAATAACCAACTTCACTATAACATCTCCAACCCTGCTATAATAGGGTTAGTCAATCATCTGAGACCAGACCAACTCAACGATACTTTTGACCTCCTTTTCTGTGTCCCGTACTAGGAAGGCTTCCTTTAGAATCAAATGTCCCCCATAATGTTGTTTTGCCTAATACTTTTCTATATTTCTTTTTCTTTTTCATTTTATTTCATATATTTCTTTCTACGCACTGCACCAAGAAAAAACCACTGGAGAATCAGAGTGCCCAGCACTCCTCTCACAATAGGTCTATGAAGGGAGTGGTACAGTTATTGTCCTCTTTTACAAAAGAGAAAATAAAGGTTCAGAAAAGTGACTTGCCCAAGATCATACTGTTACTAAATGTCAAGGCCAGGACATTTTCAGGCATTAAATTTTTTGGCTTTAAATAAAACTGGTAGTAGAAAATGTACAACAATCATCAAAAGAAGCCCCAAACCCTGTCTCACCATTCTCTACAATAAAGAAAATAACATTTTATTGTTATTCCTACGTGATACAGTGGATAGAGTACTGGGCCTGGAGTCAGGAAGACCTGGGTTCAAATCCAGCCCCAGAAACGTATTAGCATCAGTTTCCTGTAAAATAGAGATACTAATAGCAACTACCTCAAAGAGTTGTGAGAATCAAAAGAGATCACATTTGTAAAAAGCACTTAGCATATAGTAGGCACTTAATAAATGGTTATTGTCTCTTATTCTCTAGTTTGGTCTCTAACATCTAGAACACATTCCCTGGAATTGTTTGGTTCAAATTACCTTCCCATTGATTTTATCTTGAAGTTCTTTCTGTTTCTGCTTGTCATCCTCTTCATCCAAATGAGATCTACAAGTCATGGACAACTTCTTGATGAGCCTTTCCATTTCTCTACACTGCTCTTCTCTCTGCTCTGTCTCCAGTTGCTTAAATCTGCGCCAGTCATTGATGACACCTTTTGGACCTGATGGCAAAAGATACCCCAGGAACAGTAAGTCACTGTGACTGTTAGACAACAGAATAAGTGTGGTGGCTCAGAAAGAATACTTGAGACAAAGAGAGGCTGAAGTCAGGAGAAATGGTTTGACACCAGTTTTGCCATTTACTGACTGTGTGATCTTAGCAAGTCATTTCACTTCTGCAGATTTTCAGTTGCTGTTATGTAAAAGAAGAAAACTAGATTATATGTTCTCAAAGGCCCCTTTACAGCTCTAACATTATATTTCATGTCCTCATCTATAAATCAGAGATAATTATTCTTACCTCACCTAGCTTACAAAACTATCATGAGGTAAGCACTATATAAAATCTAATAACAGGTTAGCCCCATTCCCCTAAGCAAAGGACTTGGCATTATAATTCACAAAATTTAAAAAACAAAACCGAGATCATTCTTGCTCTACTGAATTCTACACTTCAATCCTCTCAATGTCATCCTCCATTTTGTCCTTTGCTGCAGCCTCAAATGAGGTAGCCTTTATCCTTGCCAATTCCAACCTCTCTTCTTGTGCCCTTAATCGCATTCCCTTCTGTCTTCTCTGAGAGCTTACCCTTTCAATCAATTTCCCCTTAAATTTCAATCTCTCCTTACCCACTGGCTAATTTTCCTGCTGCCCAGATATTCCCCATCCTTCAAAACACAAAAGAAAAAAAAAATCCCCTCAGTTGACCTAACTTCTCAAAATTTTATCCTATATTTCTCCTCTCATCACAGTCCAACTCCTAGAAAAAGCTATCTACTCTCATTGACTCTACTTTCTCTCTTCTTATTCACTTCTCAAATTCTTGTAAACTGGTTTCTGTTCCCATAGTCCAACTCAAGGCACTGTCTTCAAAGTCATCAATGATCTACTTTTTAATAATCCAATTGCCTTTGCTCTTCCTGACCTCTTTGCAGAATTTGACAATGCTGACTACTACCTTCTTCTAAATATGTATCTTGCCTACTTGTCTTGACAAGGTTTTCAGTGATATGATGCTCTGTTGTGGTTCTCCTCTTACCTGTCTGGTCAACCTTCCCAGCCTGCATTGCAGGATCATCATCATATGCCACCCCCTCTACATGGGTGCACCCAAGACTCTGTCTTGGGTTCTCTTCTCTTCTCCCTCTATACTCTTCTTTCCTGGTGATCTCATCAGTACTCATGGGTTCAACTATCATCTCTATGCAAATGACTACCAAATCAATATATCTAGCTCATATCTTTCTCCTAGGTTCTAACCTACACAGTAGCTGGCACATAGTAAGCACTTATTAAGTGTTTGTTGACCGATATTCAACTGCATGTTCCAAGGACATTTTAAATTAAATATCTCCAAAATTAAACTTTCCATTGCTATATCCTAAACCTAATAACCTTCCTCCTCCCTACCTTCCCTATTTCTTTCAAGGACATCAACACCTTTTCAACAAAGTTCATAAACTCAACTCAGCCTCCACTCCTCCTTTCTCATTCTGACATTTAACTGGTTACCAGACACTGCTGATTCTAGTGCTACAACTCTTGCATACATCATACTCTCCACTCACATTATAACTGCCCTAGTTCAGTCCTTTATCACTCCTGACCTGAATAAATGCAATGGCTTCTTAATTAGATTCCATGCATTATACCTTTTTCCTCTCTAATTCATCCTCTATACAGCTGTCAAACTGATAATTCAAAAAACACAGGTTGGACCACATCACTCTTATATGTAAGAAGCTTCAATGGCTCCTTACTCCCTCTTAATAAGCATCATACTACTTCTATGAGAATATGTATGGTGTAGTAATTGGCAAAGAAAAACAGAACGCCACCAGGATTTTACAGGAACAGTTATCTAGTGACCCTCCCAAGACATTCAGGAACCTTTCTCAAATAAGCTCAGTGCCTGGCTCATTGTCTTCTTTTCTGCCCCCAACTCCTGATCTCATACCAGAGGTCTTCAACATACCAATGTCCTCTCAAACATCCTAACCTCCTCGTTACTCATTTACTCAGCTCTTATGACCTCCACTCACTCAAAGTTATGCCCAGATAACACCCTTGAGCTGGTGGTCTATCACCAGCCAGGCCCCTTCCAACCTCTTAAGTCTTTTTATACTTTATTCTCCTCCATACATCCTACAGTACAATCATACTGGACCACCTGAAGCTCCTTACACACAATGCTCTATCTCCTCTGTGTCCATGCCTTTGCACTGAAGTTCACCATTCCTACAATGCTCACTCCCAGCCCCCAGCTCTATTTCCTGGAGTCTCTAGTTTCCTTCAAGATTTGACTCATGTGCTACCTTCCCAATTGTTGGTGCCTTCCTGTCCAAGGCTATCTTGCATCTACTTTTCAAAAAATATTTTATTTTTCCCCCAATTACATGTAAAAACAATTTTTAACATTTATTGGGTTTTTTTTTTAATTTTGAGTTCCAAATTCTATTCCTCCCTCCCTCCCCTTCCCCCTCCCTGAAATGGTAAGCAATCTGACATAGGGTATACATGTGCAATCATGTAAAACATTTCCATATTAGCCATTTTGTTCAAGGCTCAAGAAAGGAAGGAAGAAAAGAAAGAAAGAAAAAGAGAGAAAGTATTTTTGTACAAATAGGACCTTTTCTCTTTTTTTTTCTCTTTGGGATACAGAGCTATCAGTGATAGTGCTGGATCAAAAGGATCACAGTTTTACAGTCTCATGTCTACTTTCTATGTGTCTTGTAAATAACCATACATATACATGTTATCTTATCTCCGTTAGACTGTAAGCTCCTTGAGGGCAGAGACTATTCACTTTTTTTCTTTGAATCTGTAGCACTTAGCTTAGTGCCTAGCACATGGTAGGCATTTAATGTTTGGTGATTGACTGATAAACGTTCTATGGTCTTTCAGTTTTCATATCATCCTATGATGTCATGGTATAGAAAAAGCAGCACACTATAGTGAAAAGAGCACTGGACTTCGAGACAGGAGAACTGGGTTAGAATCTCAGCCTCAATTTCCTCATCTGCTAATTAGAGGTTACTAACCCCTGCATTACTTCTATCACAGGTATGTTGTGAGGAAAGTGGTTTGTGAACCTTCAAGTGATACATTAATTTGAGTCACGTAAATGACGGTAGTGGTGGCGGTTTAAGTGAACTCTTTGACCCAGAATTCCAGTCTGCCTAGGCCTTGAGAGGCAATTGAGCAAAAAAAAAAAAAAAAAAAAAGAGAGAGAGAGAGACTCTACTTTAACTGGATAGGAGCAGGACGGGGGAATGTGACAAAACACAATTACTATTTGAGGATATTTAGGTTGAAGACCTGAATTATGCTTACTGGTATATCTTTTTATGGTACTGGCTCTGATGCAGAGTATCACAAAAGCTGAGACCATATCCACTAATACTGTTAGATAACCCAGACCTCAGTTAATTACTTGAAAGGACCTTAGAGACCATTTAATCCAATCATTTCAATTTGCAGACTAGGAAACTGAGGCCAGAGAGGGGAAATCACAAAATCTCAGGGATGATAAGAGAAAGGACTTCAGAGGTCATCTAGTATAACCCGTACATGAAGAGGAATCCCCACTATAATATCCCCAACAAGTGGTCATCTAGCTTCTGCTTAAAAACCATCAATGAAGGGTAACCTGGCAGCTCATTCCACTTCTGCAAAGCCCTAATTATTTAAAAGATTTTCCCTAAATCACACCAAAATGAGCTTCTTTGCAACTTCCACCCGTTAAGCTCCTAGTTCTGCCATGTAGGGTCAAGTCTATTCCAGGGATAAAGCGTCTTTCATGAAAGCTTTTCAAATACTTGACAAAGACAAAAGTTGTCCCCTTAAGTCTTCTCTTCTCTAGATTAACCATCATCACTCCCTTTAGCTGATCTTCATATGATATGGTCTCTAGCTCTCTTGCTGCCTGATCTTTTACATGTGCTCCAGTTTGTCAATGTCCTTCCTAAAATATGGTGCCCCCCAAATCGAACAAAATACTCTTGTTCTGAACACTCTATTAAGGCAATGTAAGATTGTGAGTCATGTTGCAGTATTGACCCATATTAAGCTTGAAACCCAGTAAAAAGCCTCTGGTCTATTTTTCCCCCATATAAACTGTTGTCTGGGTTTGATGGCTCCAATCCAACTCTGTTTGTCAGTCAGTGGAAAAGATGGGACACTAAAGCAGGTCTCCTTGGTCTTCTGACTCCAAAGCTACTGCTCCTTCCACTACACCAGATTTCTTGGACCATTGGAGAAAAGGAATGTAGCATAGGAGAAAGAGTACTGGTGAGGAAAAAAATGAAAGTAGACCTTGAAAGGCTAGGTCTTAATTACTCTTTTTATAATCTACTGTTGTCCAAATTTGGGGATATAATCCACTCATTCACAGGCTTAGTACTTATAAAAACAATTCATGTTTTATCCTTTTGTGCAGGTCAGAAAATCACAAAAATGATGACTCCAATTGTCTTTTTTTTCATGTACCTGTGTTAACTGTGATACCATCTCTGGCCAGCTCAGTCTCTCCAGAAACAGAATCGCCCAGTGCAGTGTCCTTATTTTTGTCTTCCCTCTCACTGTCTTCATCCTCACTGCTGCTGTAGTAGTACTGCAGCTTCTCCCCAAGCAGCTTATCATCCATGGTCGTCATGGTGTCTAGACACAGAGAATCACAGAATTTCAGTGTTATAAAGGGACCCTCAGACACCATCTAGTCCAACCTCTACTTAAACAGAAACTCCCTCTATAATAATAATTATATAATAATAGCACTTACATAATGCAGAAGGTTTGCAAAGCACTTTATATATATCAACACATTTGATCCTCACAACAACCCTGGGCGGTAGTTGTTATTGTTATCCCTATTTTACAGATGAGAAAACTGAAGCTGAGAGAGAGGTTAAGTGATTTACCCAAGGTCATACAGCTAGGGAGTATCTGAGCCAGAATCCAACACGGATTTAAGTCCTGTGTGCTATCTACTATGCTACTTCATACCTATGAGAAGCAGACATCCATCTTTGGCTATAGAATGTCTAAGTCATAAGAAATTCACTAACTTCTAAGGTAGGCCCTGCCACTATTGGACAGATCTGAGGCTTTTTAGAAAGATTCTGAACTGAAACCAGCTTCCCTGTACCTTCCGTCAAATGAACCCAGTACAGCCCTCTAAGGACAAGCAGATTAAGTTTAATGCACCTCCCACGTGATAGCTATTTAGATAAATTTGCTGTAGTTGGAAAGAACACTGATCCTGAAATCAGAGGAACTATGCTTGAGTCCTAACTTTGACATTTTCTATCTGTGCAGCACTGGACAAGTCTTAAAAACAGAACAATAATACTTACACTACTTACCCTCATAAAATTAGTGAGAAAAGCATTTTGTAAATCTTAAAATACTATACAAGTATAAATGATCATTTTGTTATATGTGAAGGTATAAACAATATAGAGTAGTGGATTTAGAGTCAGAGATTTGAGTTTTAATCTCAGCTTCACAGCTTGCAACCTGTGTGACTCTGAAAAAGTCCCTTTCTCTCACTGGGTCTCAGTTTCCTCAACTGTAAAATGATGGGGGGGATGAAACTAGAAGATCTTTAAGATATTTTCCAGGGGGCAGAGCCAAGATGGCAGAGAAAAGGCAGGAACTTGCCTGAGCTCTCCCCCAAACTCCTCTGAACAACTTTAAATAATGCCCCAAAACAAATTCTAGAGCAACAGAACCCACAACAGGATGGGGTGAAACAATTTTCTAGTTCAAGACAACTCAGAAGGTTAGCAGAAAAGTTCTGTTGCACCAGGGTAAGAGTAGAGCACAGTCCAGCGCACGCTGCATATCGGCGCAGCCCAGGCCCCAGAAAACCAGGAGCAGACCTTGAATGTGACTGAAATCAGCAGCAGCAGAGGCTGCTTTTTTTCAGCTCACAGACAGTAAGGGGAAGAACAACTGGTCAGAAGGAGATCACAGGGGTCCCTTTACTAGTACTGAGGCAGGATTCTGTTGCTTTGCCCACACTCGGATCCAGGTCACAGGCCTGGGTAGCAGTCCCAGGGTCAGGAGGAGCAGTAGCACACCAGAGCTTGCAGCCATAGTGGAGTAGGATCCCTCATCCCAGTTCCAGGGCAAAAAAAAGTGCTTGGGTGGCTTACAGACCAGAGCACAGGCCAAGAGAGTAGTACACTTGCCTCTCCTTAGATCACACAACCTTGGGAGAACTGAAAACTTACAGTTCCCTAGAAGTATCTCTGAAAACAACTGCATAAAATCCTTGACGTTTGGGACAGTGCATCCTCCACCTGGAAGCAGAGCCCCACTTCAACAAAGAGTTAAAAGTCAAGAAATAGGGTGGAACTGCTGATGGAGTTATGAACTGATCCAACCATTCTGGAAGATAATTTGGAACTAAGCCCAAAGGGCTAAAAAAACTATGTGTACCCTTTGATCCGGAAATACCAGTGCTAGGTCTATACCCCAAAGACTTCCAAATAAAGGAAAAAGGACCTATTTGTACAAAAATATTTATAATAGCTCTTTTTGTGGTGGCTAAGAATTGGAAATGAAAGGGATGCCCATCAACTGGAGAATAACTAAACAAGCTGTGGTATATGATTATAATGGAAAATTATTGTGCTATAAGAAATGACAAGCAGGGTAATTTCAGAAAAACCTGGAAAGACTTATATGACCTGATGTAAATTGAAGTGAACAGAATCAGAATGTTTTATATAGTAACAGCAAAGTTGTATGGTGAAGAACTGTGAATGACTTAGCTATTCTCAGCAATACAAAGATCCAAGACAATCCCAAAGGATTAATGATGAAGCATACTAGCTGCCTCCAGAGAAAGAACTGATATTGTTTGATACAGACTAAAGCATGCTATTTTTCAATTTCTTTCCTTCATTCTTTTTCTCTTATTCAAATCTTCTTGTACAAAATGACTAATATGGAAATGTTTTACATGACTGCACATTTATAACCTATATCTGATTGCTTAACACCTCAGGGAGGAGGGAGGGGAAGAAGGGAGGAAAAAATAGAATTTGGAAATGAAAACTTAAAATAAATACATATTTAAAAAATGGGTTGGAAAAATGAGCAAACAACCAAAAAAAATTCTGCGTATAGAAAGTTACTATGGTGACAAGAAAGATCAAAACACACACTCCCACAGAAGACAATAAAGTCAAAGCTCGCACATCCAAAGCCTCAAAGAAGAATAAGAATTGGTCTCAGGCCATGGAAGAGTTAGAAGAGGATTTTAAAAAATCAAGAGAGGTAGAAGAAAAATTGGGAAGAGAAATAAGAGTGATGCAAGAAAAGCATGAAAAAAGAATCAACAGCTTGGTAAAGGAGACACAAAAAAATACTTCAGAAAATAACACTTAAAAAAACAGACTATTTTGCCAAATAGCAAAAGAGGTACAAAAATAAATGAGGAGAATGCCTTGAAAAGCAAAGGTGGTAAAATGAAAAAAATAAATATATATATAAAAATTCACTGAAGAGAAGAACTCCTCAAAAAATAGAATTGGCCAAATGGAAAAGGAGGCACAAAACATCGCTGAAGAAAATAATGACCTAAAAATTAGAACTGAGCAAGTGGGAGCTAATGACTCTATGAGGCATCAAGAAACAATAAAACAAAACCAAAAGAATGAAAAATGTAAGATAATGTGAAATATCTCATTGGAAAAACAACTGATCTGGAAAACAGATCCAGGAGAGATAATTTAAAAATTTTTTGGACTTCCTGAAAGCCATGATCAAAACAAGAGCATCAACATTATCTTTCAAGACATTATCAAGGAAAACAGCCTTAATATCCTAGAACCACAGAGTAAAATAGAAATTGAAAGAATCAACCGATTACCTCCTGAAAGCAATACCAAAAGGAAAACCTCCAGGAATATTATAGTCAAATTCCAGAGCTCCCAGGTCAAGGAAAATACTGCAAGCAGCCAAAAAGAAACAATTCAAGCACTGTGGAGTCACAGTCAGGATAACACAAGATTTAGCTGCTTTTACATTAAAGGATTAAACGGCTTGGAATATGCTATTCTGGGGGGCAAAAGAGCTAGGATTACAACCAAGAATCACCTACCCAACAAAACTGAGTATAATCCTTCAAGGGGGAAAAAATGGACATTCAATGAAATTGAGGACTTTCAAGCATTCCTGATAAAAAAGTCCAGAGCTGAATAGAAAATCTGACTTTCAAATACAAAACCGAAGAGAAGCATAAAAAGGTAAACAAGAAAGGGAAATCATAAGGGACTTAAATAAGGCTAAACTGTTTATATTCCTACATGGGAAAATGATACTTGTAACTCATAGGAATTTTATCATTATTAAAGCAGTTAAGAACGGGTACATATAAAGGACACAGGTGTGAGTTTAATATTATGGGATGAATCTAAAAGAACAAAATTAAGAGCTGAAAAAGAGGAATGCACTGGCAGAAAGGGAAAGGGAGAAGTTGAATGGGGTAAATTATCTTACATAAAAGAAGCACAAAAGAGCTTTTACTACAGAAAGGAAGATGTGGAAAGTGGCTGGGAATACTTGAATCTTATTCTTGAATCTTATTCTCGTCAGAACTGGCTCAAAGAGGGAATAATATACACACTCAATTGGGTACAGAAATCTATCTTACCTTATGGGAAAGTAAGAGGGGAAGGGGATAAGAGAAGTGGGGAGTGCTCATAGAAGGGAGGGCAGATTGGAGGAGGCAACAGTCAGAAGCAAAACACTTTTGAGGAGGGACAATGTGAAAGGAGAGAAAATAGAATAAAGAGGGGGGAAACAGGATGGAGGGAAATACAGTTAGCAATCATAACTGTGAAAAAAAAATTCTGAAGCAAGTTTCTCTGATGAAGGTCTCATCTCTCAAATATATAGAGAAATAAGTCAAATTTATGGGAATAAGAGCCATTCCCCAACTGACAAATGATCAAAAAATATGAACAGTTTTCAGATGAAGTAATCAAAGCTGTCTATAGCCATATGAGAAAATGCTCTAAATTATTATTGGTTAGAGAAATACAAGTTAAAACAACCTGAAGTACTATCTCATACCTTTCAGACTGACTAATAGGATAGAAAAGGAAAATGACAAATGTTAGAGGAATGTAGGAAAACTGAGACACTAATGTATTGTTGGTAGAGTTGTGATCTGATTCAACCATTCTTTAGAGCAAATCCAGAACTATGCCCAAAGGGCTATAAAACCATGCACACCCTTTGACCTAGCTATACCACGACTAGGTCTGTATCTCAAAAGAGATAAAAAACAAAAAGGCAAAGAACCCATATGTACAAAAATATTTATAGTAGCTCTTTCCTGGTGGCAAAGAAATGGAAATTGAGGGGATGACCATCCATTCGGGAATGGCTGAACAAGTTGTGGTATATGATTGTGAAGGAATACTGTTGTGCCATAAGAAATGATAAGCTAGATGCTCTCAGAAAAAGCTGGACTTACATGAACTGATGCAAACTGAAATGAGTAGAACCTGGAGAAAATTGTATATTTTGTAACAGCAATATTTTAAGATGATCAATTGTGAATGACTTAGCTATTCTCAGCAATACAATGATCCCAGACAATTTTGAAGGATTCATGATGAAATTGCTATCCATCCCCAGAG